CATCTCCAAGGGCTGGCATCAATCTTGACCATCTCCAAGAGCTGGCATCAATCTTGACCATCTCAAAGGACTGGCAATTGTGACCACCTCAAAGGGCTGGCAGCAATCTTGCAAGTTTCAAAGAATGTCTTCTGCTCCCCTGCCTTTACTTTCCAGACAACTATGGAGAGTCCTTTCTGAGGTGCCTTTCCTGCCCTTCTGTGGGCTGAGATGCGTCGTTGTTGCCCAGGAGTGGCTTTTCGTCCTTCTGTGTCCCACGCTTATTCTCACATCCCACTGATGTGGGAAAATAGCCAGATTCACCCTTTCAGAAGCAACGGCCGTTTCAACCTTTCAGCCAGAATTCTTCACTTCTGCAAGAATGCTTTATCGATTGTCCTTTGAAAACTTTTTCCCAGCCCTACGAAGTAGCGCTTAGAGGCCATCAGGAACGCTTCTTTCTGTTTTCCTAAGGAAGTTTTCCAATTTTGTGTCAGAGATGATTCATGCAAGAGCCTACTTTTGAAATGTTTAACAACTTTCGGTCGTGTACTTGGAAGTTAAAAAAAAAAATCCTGCTATGCAGAGAGGCTGGCTGCAGAAGCGATGTTTTTCCTGATTATAATAGTAGCCATCTCTTGCGGTTTTTACAAAGTCGTCTGGTAGTTATCATAAACAGGCTTAAGGATCACATCTATCTACATCAGGGATTCTTAACCTTGGCAACTTTAAGACTTGTGGACTTCAATTCCCAGAATTCCTCAGCCAGCCTCCATTTTGTTTGTTAAAATTAAGACCGGGGTCTTCCAACTTGGCCCTTTGATGACTTGTGGACTTCAGCTCCCGGAATTCCTCAGCCAGCCTCCATTTTGTTTGTTAGATTTAAGACAGGGGTCTTCAAACCTGGCCCTTTGATGACTGGTGGACTTCAACTCCCGGAATTCCTCAGCCACCAAAGTCCACAAGTCTTAAAGTTGCCAAGGTTGAGAACCCCTGATCTACATCTTTTGGCAAAAGTCCCCAACGTGAAGGGAAACAGATTAAACATAGATTCTCAAGGAATTATAACATTAGACATCCAAAAGAGGAGGAGATGAACCTTGATTTTCTCTCAGCGGTGCGTTCTAGAAACCTTTTTATGAGAATACAAAGTTTCATTGGTAACGGTACTCACCCATCTTAGATGGTGGGTGTCTCCAGAAGGAGAATTCTACGGAGGTATATCACGGAATTAAAATATTTCTATGGCTCAGTGAGACATTTATTAAGTGGATTTTGCCCCCAATTTACGACCTGTCTTGCCCCAGTTCTTAAGTGAAACACTGCAGTTCTGAAGTGAGTAACATGGCTCGCTTCCCCACTGACTTTGCTTCTCGGAAGGTTGCAAAAGGGGATCATGTGACCCCGGGACGTTACAACTGTCATAAGTACATGCCAGTTGCCAAGCATTTGAATTTTGATCATGTGACCATGGGAATGCAGCAACGGTCATAAGTGTGGAAAAGCACTGTGAAGCGGTATATAAGTCTAAGTGCTGTTGTTATTATAATGGAGGAAGGAAGTTTTGATGTATAAAGCCCAGAAACGGAGATTCAGAGAGATTTGAGCAAAGTGTCAGCCTGATTTTAAAAGCAGTGTTTCAGAAATCAGATATATTATGGCGTAGGCCAGGGGTAGGCAATCTTGGCTCTTTTATGACTCATGGACTTCAACTTCCAGAATTCTTGAGCCAGCATGGGGAAAACTTTGGCCCCCTCATGACTCATGGACTTCAACTCCCAGAATTCCTCAGCCAGCATGGGGGAACCATGGCTCCTTCATGACTTGCAGACTTCAACTCCCAGAATTCCTGAGCCAGCATGGGGGAACTATGGCCCCCTCATGACTCGTGGACTTCAACTCCCAGAATTCCTGAGCCAGCATGGCTCAGCTTAGAAACCTCTCCCTTTCCCCTCAGCATGGCTGGCTCAGGAATTTTGGGAGTTGAAGTCCACAAGTCATAAAAGAGCCAAGGTTGCCTACTCCTGGTGTAGGCGAAGACTGACGAACGATCCCATGAATCAAAACTTCCGGGAAAGAAATGATGAACTGAAAAACTGTGGCTGAATGAAGTGCCAGCGAGGAAAACTTACTGCTCTCCAGACAAGGAGAACTGTTGAGATCACCCACGTGACTCCGGACGCTTGTTCCTCTCACAGAGAGATTGCAAGACAGCCATCTCCAGCAGGATTAGACCTCTGAGAATTAAAGAAGTAGCTATCTTGCTCAAACCGCAGTTGGCATCTGTATGGACACTACGTTTTCACACTTCCTTTCCTAATCACTTTCAGGAATTGCTTGCTAATTGCTTCTTAACTATAAGGAGTCTTTAGATTGACAGATTTCACAGCCCCAAGTGAATTTCCTTCCATCCTTAGTGAAAGAAGTTTTAAATATGGACTGTTTTGAGAGGGGGGGATAAAGAGCAATAGGGATGTTAAAACTGTTAATTTCGGAAAGTTATGAAAAGATAACTTTTCCAAAGTTAAAAGTTTTGAAAAATTTTGTGAGCAGGGACAAAGAAAAAAAAAATGAAGTCAAGTTTTAGGACGTTATTTGAAGGGATTAAAGATCAAGATAGTTATAAGTAAAAGGAAGAGAGATAAACTTGGTTTATTTGTTCAAGATTAATATAGATATGTTATCTCTGGTAACTCTTAATGAACTTTTGATCAGGCCTGAAAAGATGAGACTTTAAGGATTTGCTTATTGATAAGAGGTGAGATTTGAGGAAAAGAGTTCATTTGTTGTATTTTAACGATAAATTACACAAATTCTTTACACCTGAGATGAAGGAAAGTCATTTCTTTATATATTTCTTCTTTTTTACTCTATCTTTCTCTTTTCTATTTTTATTATTTTCTTTTCCACACTTTTTTCTTTTTATTCTTTTCTCTTTTTTTCTTTTAGTTTGGGTTAGGTTTTATCTTTTTAGTGGTAACGTTTAATAACATTATTATATAAAAATTAGCCGAGGCTGGCATGGTTCTGATTCAAATGCAAGAACGGTGGAATATCTGTCTGGTTTTGTTTTAAGCCAGGGAAATATAAGTCATGAAGGCTTCCTTCAGTACTAAAATGTCATAGTTTTATAATTCAATTCCATCTTAAGATCAAGTAAAGACAATCTCATTTGTTACCATGGATACAAGACATTATTTCCATTCGTTCGTTAGAGGCTTCATACTGGGTATGGAATTAAACTGTAACAGAGTTTTATGTGGAAAATTATCTCAGAAATCTATAAGTATAATGACAGAACTGCCGTTTAAGTTGGCTGGATTTTCATTTCCAGATCCTATCAATTGCAAGATGGCTACTACAATCCAATTGCCGGCATTTAGTGGTCCATATATATATATAATTCGCTGTTTTATTGCCCCTGTTCTAAAAAGGTGGACAAGACCTTTGAAAAGCAAAAAAGAACTGTTGCATATTTTTTTTTAAAAAAAGCATAGAAACCATCTGATGGATGTTTTGCTTGCTTAATTTTTTTTTTAACTTCCAAATATGAGTTCAAGGTTGACAAACACATAAGGTATCCATAACTATCACAGCTGATCAAACATCTTTCCCCGAGTGGATGCAGGCAATTTAAAGTATCTTTATCCTAATTCTCTGAATTAGTTTTTCGATCTCAATTGAGGTCACCCTGCAGAATGGTGAGAATTACTCACTACAGGAAGCCCTTGACTTACCACGGTTTAGTGACTGAAGTTACAGCAGCGCTGAAAAAAGTCACCTATGACTCAACCTACCATGCACAAAAGGGGTGTCAAAAATCTCCTAAGAACAGCAAGAGCCCACAAACCCACAGCCACACTCCGCCAGGAATTATCCAGAACCAAAGACGAGATACAGAAGGACGAGAGGAACAATGTCGTCTACGCCAGGGCTTTTCAACCTTTTCACTCATTGTACCACTTTTAGGATATGGCAACATCCAAGTACCACCAGTCACCTAGCAAGGTGTCAAAAACTTGATGACCAAAAAAAAAAAAAAAGGAAAAAAGTGATAAAGTACAGGTAGTCCTTGACTTACAATAGTTTGCTTAATGACTGTTCGAAGTTACAATGGCACTGAAAAAAGTGCCCCCAAGCCACAGCCGAGCAAGACACCTGCCTGCCCACCCGGCTGCGCTCTTCCTCCTGTACGAAGTTTCCATTGTTGTGAGCATTTCTGTTGAGGATTGGCAGTGAGGGAGGGTGGGGGGTGGGTGTTTGGTTTTTATTCCCCCCGTCTGCTGGGTGGTTGCAGCAGGGTTTGGTCACTTCCCATGACCCTGGAACACTGGGACTGTCATAAATATGAATCAGTTGTCAAGCATCTGAATGTAAATCACAAGACCCTGGAGAGGCTGCAACATTCCAGCTGATCGGCGCTTCTTCTGGGCTCAGCAGAAGCACCAGGATCAGTGCTACTTTTCAGCTGATTGGTGCTTCTTCAGGGCTCAGCAGAAGCCTCAGGATCAGCGCTGAGCTCCAGCTGGATCCTGGCGCTGATCCTGGCGCTTCCCCTGAGCCCTGACAGCCCCAAAGAAGTGCCGATCAGCTGGAAAGCGGCACTGATCCTGGCGCTTCCGCAGAGCCCTGACAGCCCCGCAGCTCCAGCCGTCTCTGGCTCAGGCTTGTGCGGTGCTGCTGTCACTTCAGCTCATTCCCCTCCCCCACTACCACTTTTCTAGGATGGTCGCGTACCACCTGCCAAGTGCCAATGTACCACAGATGGTACCTGTACCACTGGTTGAAAAGCCCTGGTCTACGCAATCCATCACAATCATTGCAATCTGTTCTACGTGGGACAAAGATTGATCCTCCTTGGTGGAATCGAATTCAACCTGTTTTCTCCCTACTTGAGACTTCACAAGCGGTTGATTACAGCCAAACCTGCAGATGTTTCTCCATTCACAAGAACACTAGCCACTTCAACTTCCCACCAAACAAGATCAGAACAGGCCATATTGTGCTTTAGACAGATATACCTGCTGCATGCCTTGGACAGTTTGCTGCAAAAACTGTAGTTGCTGGTCTTTTGTCAAGCTCTCCTCGGTGCGAAACAGCTGGCCCTTCTCTTGCTTGAGAAGCTCCACCTCGTTCCGGTAGGCGTCGAGTTGCCATCGGAGGCTGTCGTTCTCTTCCTTCAGGGCGTAAGCTTGAGCGGCTAAGGCTGAGAGAAGGGACAGACTCGGTAATTAAGATAAAAGAACAAGATATTACGCTGGGGCAAATAAAGGGTCAGAGAGTTGCAGCTGCTCCTGTCAGAGCAATGGGACTTGAGTTAACTTGTGGATTGTGTCCACTTCTGCAGGGCTATAACAGTCTATGAATTAACCAGGGAATGTCCAAGATGAACCGTCCTTTAGATAGGAACTGTCTCTGTCTTTGGAGCTTGTCAAGGTATCGATTTAACAGCTTAACTAGCTTATGTAATGTAAGATGTAATGGTGGGAATGACTCAGCAGAGTCTGTGTCTCTTTAAGAGCCATTGTATAAAGGGTAGGCTCTGCTGATGTGTTCCCTCTCTTCCGTTTCCTGCTGTAATTGCTGTTTGTTGGATCCTGCTGTATTAGAATGTGTATGTGTATTGTTCCTAATGTATGATATTGTAGTTAGTGTAAGATAAACCACCATTTGATACAAGCCACTGTTTACTGTGTTTACTCCTGTGTTATCTTGCGCAATAAGACTGTGCACGCTCTGACAGCGCTCCAGGAGCTTGATTGTTTTCCTGTAGATGTTTCATTACCCAAACTGAGTAACATCATCAGGGCTAGCAGAGAGTCCTAGGTAGCACTGATGATATTACCTAGTTTGGTCATGAAACATCTGCAAGAAAACAAGCAAGCTCAGAGGGCACCAAGGACCCCACAGTCATCGTCGTCCTCCTCCTCCTCCTCCTCTCCACAGAGAGCACCAAGGACCCCTCATTTCAACCCTGAGCTATAAATATTCTCCTTTATTAGGACTTCTCTATCTGGTAGACCCTCCAGACACTCAAATAAACCAGTTTCCATGCAGACTGTAAAACATGGCTGAGGCTTCTAAGAAAACATAATCTAATATTAACCCTTGCTTGGATCCCAAATCTTGATTCAAGCTTGCACACCAAGTAATGTGCTGTTTTTTTTTTGCATTACTTGACAGTTTTTTTATTTTTTTTTAAGCACCAGGGGTTCAATAACTCAATCCTTCTGCCAAATGTTGGCTAACCCAAACTATACTTTATAAGGAAGTCCCTAACCATGGTTTGGTGGGATGTTTGATTTTAGGCAGGAAAGGGGTAAGATTGGCCACCCAAATTAGACCTGAACCAAACACTTTTTCTTCCATTTTATGAAAAAGAAGCTGACCATTAAAACGTATCCAGGATGGTATTTATTTACAGCTTACCGCAGGAATGAATATTTTGAGTTTTTTTAAAAAAATAATATGTTAATTAATTTTCAAAACAAAACACTAAAAGACAAACTTACATAAAAGAAAAAAAGGGAAATGGAATAACAAAACAAACTAAAGGGTGACAAAAACATTTATTTGTTTAATTAATTAATTAGTATATTGTTCACCTCGCTATGGAAAACACCATCAAACAAATATATAACAAAAATGATCTCTGACTTTTTTATAGCATGGAGTTAGTAATACAATATGACCACCTCTCTCTACATTTAACTGAAACAAATATCAATCTTTATAAACTATCTTAAAACATGCCAGTCTTTAAACTACCTTAAAATACTAATAACCCTCATTCTAAAAAAAACCCAGTATTAATATTTTGGAATCGAAATGTTTTACCTGTTATATTACAAACTTTTCAGACCAGTTTATCTTAATTGTTACTCTGGTTCAAGAAAAAAAATATATTGGGGCTGGAATTTTGACTTAGAGTTTAAACATGAAAACTTTAACAGAATAGCAGAGTAATTGAGTTGAAAGGGACCTTGGAGGTCTTCTAGACCAACCCCCTGTTCAGGCAGGAAACCTTATACCATTTCAGACAAATGGCTGTCCAGTCTCTTCTTAAAGACTTCCAGTGTTGGAGCATTCACAGCTTCTGGAGGCAAGTCATTCCACTGGTTAATTGTTCTCACTGTCCGGAAGTTTCTCCTTAGTTCTAGGTTGCTTCTCTCCTTGATCAGTTTCCATCCGTTGCTTCTTGTCCTGCCTTCAGGCGCTTTGGAGAATAGCTTGACTCCCTCTTCTTTGGGGCAGCCCCTGAGATATTGGAAGACTGCTATCATGTCCCCCCTGGTCCTTCTCTTCATTAAATTAGACCTACCCAATTTCTGCAATTGTTCTTCATATGTTTTAGCCTCCAATCCCTTGATCATTTCTGTTGCTCTTCTCTGCACTCTTTCCAGAGTTTTCACATCTTTTTTACATCGTGGTGACCAAAACTGGATGCAGCATTCCAAGTGTGACCTTACCAAGACCTTGTAAAGTGGTATTAACAATTCACGTGATCTTGATTTTATCCCTCTGTTCATGCAGCCTAGCACTGTGTTGGCTTTTTTGGCAGCTGCAGCACACGGCTGGCTCCTATTTAAGCGATTGTCCACTAGGACTCCAAGATCCATCTTGCAGTTACTACCATTGGGCCAAACAACCAAGCTCAGAGAACACCAAGCACTCCACAGTTCAACTCTGACCTATGAATTTTCTCCTGTATTGAAAGTCTGATTTGAACAGATTTGTTCGTTGGAATCCAGCAACTTTAATGGTATATTGGCAGGATAGATATTAGGCAGATCTCCTAGATCAGTGTTTCTCAACCTTGACCATTTTAAGGCATGTGGACTTCAACTCCCAGAATTCCACAGCCAGCAATGCTGGCTGTGGAATTCTGGGAGTTGGAGTCCACATGCCTTAAAATGGTCAAGGTTGAGAAACACTGTCCTAGATCCAATCTCCAGCCCTGCTTATATTATTTTTTAAACATTGCCCATCTGACTCTAAGACTTAAAACCCAAAGCGAAACCTTGCCCAACAACGTTAGTCTGTCTTTTGAGTTCCATTGAAACGACAACGGCGGAACAGAATAAAAACATATAAAATGCAAAGGGCTGGGAAAATGTTGGCACCACAGAAGCATTACCGCATTAAGTCGCATTGAAAGGCACTTAAGTCATTTCCTATGGAAGCTTCCTTTGGCTCCTTTTTCAATTTAAAATGGCAGTTTTATTATCGTGACGGATAGCAGGTGTTTGTGGAAAAATCGATTAGTATGCAGAGATGAAAATTACATTTAGCAAATGAATTGCGCCCGTCTGCGGTGTAGGCTGGAGTTTGTGTTCGCAAAAGGCGGGAGACTGTAAGGCAGCACTATTTAAATAAATTATTTTGGTATAAATATGCATAGGGATGAAAAATGTCTTCTCTTCCAGCATGGTACAAAGACTACTACAACTTGCAAACTTTTCCATTTGTTTCCTCAAACGTGGCTGCCACGAGCTTTAGCTTAGCAAATATTTTGCCAAGTTTAATCTGGGATCATAACCACATCACATCCTTTATCAAGAAGCCGTAACTGAATGCATCATCACAAACAACCCTTTGAGCGTTTGTAATCAAAGGCACATTATTTATTCCACTCTTCATGATATAATTGTCATACAGCATACTACGCCATAAGACCATGGGAAGGAATTACAATTATTTCATTTCCAACAGTGGGAACTTTAAAAAAATAAATCTGACTTCTTTAAGAGTCAATTGTCCCTTTAGAAAACAGAAAGTAGAATGTCGGAATATTTGCTTTACAAGGGTCTTCCTCAATCAAAAATGAAATTCAAAAATGAAATTCAATGGTGAAAAAAAGCAAGGTTCTACATTTAGGCAAGAAAAACCAAATGCACAGGTATAGTATAGGGGTACCTTGCTCAATAGTAGTAACTGTGAGAGGGATCTCAGAGTCCTAGTGGACAATCACCTAAACGTGAGCCAGCAGTGTGCTGCAGCTGCCAAAAAGGCCAACACAGTGCTGGGCTGCATTAACAGAGGGATAGAACAAGATCACGTGAAGTGTTAATACCACTTTACAATGCCTTGGTAAGGCCACACTTGGAATACTGCACCCAGTTTTGGTCACCACAATGTAAAAAAGATGTCAAGACTCTAGAAAGAGTGCAAAGAAGAGCAACAAAGATGATCAGGGGACTGGAGGCTAAAACATATAAGGAACGGTTGCTGGAATTGGGTATGTCCAGTTTAATGAAGAGAAGGATGAGGGGGGATATGATAGCTGTGTTCCAATATCTCAGGGGCTGCCCCAAAGAAGAGGAAGTCAAGCTATTCTCCAAAGCACCTGAACACAATACAAGAAGCAACAGATGGAAACCGATCAAGGAGAGAAGCAACCTGGAACTAAGGAGAAACTTCCTGACAGGGAGAAAAATTAACCAGTGGAACAACCTGCCTCCAGAAGCGGTGAATGCTCCAACACTGGAAGTTTCTAAGAAGAGACTGAACAGCCATTTGTCTAAAATGGTATAGGGTTTCCTGCCTGAGCAGGGGGTTGGACTAGATGACCTCCAAGGTCCCTTCTGAATCTGTTATTCTTCTCCTTCCTTCCTTCCTTTTTTCCTTCCTTTTTTCCTTCCTTCCTTCCTTCCTTCCTTCCTTCCTTCCTTCCTTCCTTCCTTCCTTCCTTCCTTCCTCCCCTCCTTCCCTTCCTCACTTCCTTCCTTCCTTCTCCAACACTGGAAGTTTTTTAGAAGAGATTGGACAGCCATTTGTCTGAAATGGTATAAGATTTCCTGCCTGAGCAGGGGGTTGGACTAGATGACCAACTTCCAGTGTTTTCTTTGACGACGTTTCCCTTCTCATCCCAGAAGCTCCTTTAGCTCTGACTGGATCGTGGGGAATGATTTGTGAAATATACTGGGTTTCCGTCTTTGGAATATATGATCTAGGTTTGCTACTGACTGGGTCTCAGCTTTAAGGAGGGGCTGGTAAAAAGTTAAATGATGGAAAACAGGCTCTTTCTATGTCTAAATATCAGTTATCCTTGCCAGAGAACAGGAGAGAGTGACAAGAATTTACCACTTCATCGAGATGTGGATTTGGAAGCTGTATCCTCATCCCAGGAGAATTGAGGCTGATGGAAAAGAGAGAATTAAACAGTTCTAAATTCACAGCCCGTTCTTCATCTCTAGCAGGCTACAA